GCCTGCTTGGGATTCTCTCTCCCCCTCTCTCTCTGCCCCCTCCCTCGCTGCCCCCTCCCTCGCTTGTTCCTGCTCTCTCTCTCCTTCTCTCTCTCTTTCTCTCTCAAAATGAAGAAATTAAAAAAAGTTCCTTGCATAGTATTCTACTGTAGAGCACGTATTTTCAAAGCTTTTGGGACAAATTCCCAATTTTCCCTTTAGACTGGCTGTACTAATATCAGACATTGTAGTCTTAACAAGGTCTGATAGAAGGACTGTAAATCTGGATGGTTTTGAAATAAAATTCTGACTTTCCCCCAGTATTTGTTATGGACGTTTTTTCATTTTCTTAACTGACTAGGCTCCAGACCCAGCGCAGAGCCCGACACGGGGCTCGAACTCGATGACCCTGAGATCAAGAGCTGAGCTGAGCTCAAGACTCCCGACGCTTAACCGACTGAGCCGCCCCGGTGCCCCTGTTTTGAAACCAAAGGGCTGAACGAATGGCAGGGGGATCCCTCGCCACCTGGATTCATCAGTTGTTGACTCTGGCCACAGCGTGTTTGGCCGCATGGGAGCGCCTGGTGACCATTCAGAGGTGTGGGTCTCGTGACCACACCCCTAAGCATCGCAGCCCTTGCTGACAGGTGCTTCCTGGGAAGAGCAGCACCGCCATGTGGGCAGCAGCCCTGTCTCCAGGGTCGGCTCCCGTCCGCCCCGTGCGGCCCCCCAGAGCCCCTCCGTCGCCTCTCACGGCTTTCGTCATGTGTTCAATTGGTTGTTGCTCCTCAGTCTCTTTGAGCCTCGAACAGTCCCTCATCCTTTTTATAACCCTACAAGTGTTAAACTGAAAGACGAAATTTTTTTTAATGTTTATTTATTTTCGAGACAGAGACACAGCAAGAGCGGGGGAGGGGCAGAGAGAGGGAGACACAGAATCGGAAGCAGGCTCCAGGCTCCGAGCTGTCCCCACAGGGCCCGACGCGGGGCCCAAACCCACAAACTGTGAGATCATGACCTGAGTTGAAGTTGGACGCTTAACTCACTGAGCCACCCGGGCGCCCCTACGAGTGTTAAACTTAAAAACTTCTTACTTTAGGGGCGCCTGGGTGGCGCAGTCGGTTAAGCGTCCGACTTCAGCCAGGTCACGATCTCGCGGTCCGGGAGTTCGAGCCCCGCGTCGGGCTCTGGGCTGATGGCTCAGAGCCTGGAGCCTGTTTCCGATTCTGTGTCTCCCTCTCTCTCTGCCCCTCCCCCGTTCGTGCTCTGTCTCTCTCTGTCCCAAAAATAAATAAACGTTGAAAAAAAAAACCAAAAAACAAAAAACTTCTTACTTTGAATCTCAGTCTTGCAGAGACGTTGCAAAAACTGTACCGACTTGCCACGTGCCTTCCCCAGTGTTCACATTTTACCAAACGTATGCCCACTCTCTCCACCTCTCTTTCACTGTGTGTGCGTGCACACGTGTGCATATACACATACACACGTATGTGTGTGCGTACATTTGAGAGAGTAAGTTGTAGATGTGATGCCCCCCAGTATTTCCATATGCATCCCAAAGCAAGGATGCTGTCTTCATTAACCACAGCACAGTTACCAAAATCAGGAAAGTGACTGGTAAAATACTCTTACCTGCTCTGACTTTGTGTAAACTTGGCCGGCTGTCTCACGAATGAGCGACTGTCTCGCTACCGGCAAAAAGGAAAGAGCATTTGGGGGGCCCAGGCCCCCGTTGAGGACCACACACACCTGTCGCTTCACTTACTGGAGAAGTCTATCGGCCTCTTGCACGTTCCCGCTTTGGAAGCTTACGGGCCAGTCACTTCGTAGATTGCCCCTCAGTTTCGGATGGTGAGCGCAGCCTCGCGATCGGGCAGGACTCCTCCCACGTCTTAGGTGTCCTTCTCGGGAGGGCTGTGATGTTCCTTTGTCTCCTTACTGATCATCGGAATGTTCACCGTCTGGTTACATGTTGTCTGCCGGGTGTCTTCACTGCGAAGCTACTGTTTTCCCGTAATCAGTGGTACGTTAGGGCAGGTGTGCTGACATCAGGTGCGTTTCCTCTTCGGGGCCTCGTACGGGCCTCCCCGAGGAGTCCCGCCTGAGGCTCGGGTTACTGTGCCTGTTGCCAGCGCGATGGCATTGCATCCGCCCCTACCTACTGGATGGACCGCGCTATAATTCAGAGCTGTGCCTTCCCCCACTTTGTCCTTCGTTTACGTGCGCGTATCAACACGGACGGCTTTGGGCAGCGTCGACGTTTTCACAGTGCTTGTTCTTGGGGCGCGTGAGCACGGAAGGTCTTCCTGCTTCTTTGAGTCACCTCCGATTTCCTGTGAAAGCTTCCTCTAGTTTTCAGAGTCAGGCCTTTCGCCTCTTTGGTTAGGTTTATTCCTGAGTACCTCATTGGACTCACCGATGGTTGTTTTACTCCGAGTACTGTCATACCCCGTCGCCCGTTGTCACACGTTTGACCCGTGAGAGCTTCTGCAAGCTGCTTTGACTCCTTCTGGCGTGTCCCCGTAATTTTTGAGCACAGGCTCCGGGTCACCTTGTGCCTTTCCTGCCCCAGCCCTGGGATCACGTCAGCCACTGCTCTCTGGAGCCCCGATTCTTTGTTCTGGGGAGTGACATTTATCACCCAGGGTCTGGGTGGTACCGGGTGTCGCTGCTTCTCCACCCTCTTGGGGGACAGGGCTGAAGCAGGTGCACACGTGTGTGTGTGTGTGTGTGTGTGTGTGTGTGTGTGTGTGTGTGTGTGTGTTGAACGCACGGGAACTCACACCGACAGCTCCACTTCCGTTCCAGCAGGGCGGGGTCCCCCCGAGCCGTTCCCTGTCTGTGTTTGGGGCCCCTTCTCTGTCACCGACCGTCCTGTGCTTATTCCCCGTGTATTCGTGTGTCTTCCCAGTCTCACGAAGCATCTGCCTGTTTATCAAACCCAAGGAAGTGTACCTTTTAAGTCAGGAAGTCAGTGGGGTGTTGCAGGAAGAGGCTCGTCCATCCGCTGTGTCGTGGCTCCGTGCCCGAGGGGGGGCGGCCTCCTCCTGGCCCAGTGAGGGAGGGCGCTTCCAGAGCTGAGGGCAGGGCGCCGCCGGCCTGTGCGGGGAGTGCCGTGGGTGGAAGCAGGGCCGCCCCGCGTCCTCGCCGCTGAACGTCCCTTCTGTTCGTCCCTTCTGTTCGAGAGGAGCGGGCGGCGCAGGGACGCAGGGCCTCGGATCGGCGCCACTTCCTGTGCCCGAGTCCCCGTGGGCGGCGCACCGAGGGCCCCGTGTTCACCTGCACGCGCGGCGGGGCTCGCCCAGGGAGGACCCTCCGATGGAGCTGGGAGCCCACGCGGGGCCCGCACCCTCTTTTGGGAGTACGGTGTGCCTGCATAAAAGCCAGGGGCTGTTCTGATGCCGTCCCGTGGACGCGTACGTGCAGGCCTCCCGACACGGCTGGCCTCGGACTGTGATGGAGGGCTGTGGGGCGCCGTACCGCGTCCTGGCGGACGTGCCTCGGTGACGTTTGACGGAGGCCGCTCCCGGCTCAGCCTCGCGGCCGGCCTGGGGGGCGACGCGTCCGCGGAGAGGAGGGTGGTGTCGCTTTCAGGTTAGCTATTCTTTAGACGGACGGTTTGCGGACCACTCCTTCTCCACAGTGAATAGCGTCAGACACGTCCAGACGGCTGGGGGGGGCTGCCTCCCTCCCCGCTGTGGCTGCACAGCTCCGAGAAGACGGGGACCCGGGCCGGGCCGTGCTGGCCCCGACACCCGCCGGCCGAGTCTCCCTCGCCGCGTGCGTGTGGGGATGCGTGAAACCACAGACGTGGAGGAGGCCCCGACACGGACGCGCGTTTCCGCACGGCCTCACCCGATGTCTCCGCGGCCGGGAGGGTGAAGCCGTGTGACCAGGAGGTTACTCGCCACGTCTGCCCCGTCCTGCAGGTGTTCCCTAGGGAGGGTGGCTCTGGCGTCGACTGTCTGTCTGGCGGGAAGTGCGCTGAGGACGTGGACCCCCCCAGAGCTGTTCTTTGAGCCTCCGTCGGAGCAGCCGCGAGCTGCTCTCGTTCCGGCGGCCACGGAAGTAACGGTGACAGGAGAAAGGGCTCAAAAGCGCAGCGAGGACACGTGGGTGTCGGGGCCCGCGGAGCTGGGGTGACTCGCGTGTCCAACGCGCGCCCCGTCAACGGTGAGCGCTTCGGGGCGGGGCCAGACGCCGTGCCGGTCGTGGGGGACGCGGCAGGACGGGGCCCTCGCCGGCCCTTACCGTGTGGTGGGAGCAACCACGAGGCGCCGCGGGGCCGAGCCCGGGGTGGACGGCGGGCCCCCGGAGAGCTGCGCACGGCAGGCGAGGGCGAGGGCGAGGCACTGGCAGGGCCGCCTGGGGACGGTGACGTGGTGACGGGGCGCGTGCGGGCACCGGCCAGGCCCCCAGGAGGCCGGAGCGCGGGGCAGAAGTGCGCGGGGGGAGCACCGTGCGGCCTGAGGACGAGGCAGGTGCTCCCTGACATGGACACAGCTCCGAGTAGGGGACGGCTGGCCAGGGACTTGCCCTTCAGGGGGGTTTTCACCAGGACTGCATTTCTGAAAGGTGGACTCTGGAGAGGAGGAGGGGGAAGGCCAGAGGTTCACCTGAGCCCTGCCGGTGATCAAGGTTGGGGCCAGCGGCCTGGGGTGGAGGGGGAGGCGAGAGTCCAGGAGGAGGGCCAGCCTTTGGTCAAGGCACAGACGGTTGGGAGGCGCTCAGTGACAGGTGTGCCCGTGTCTCAGGATCAGGGGTGCCAGGGGCACAGAGGGCAACTTCAGCGGCAGCTCCACAAGAGTTCCTGGTCTAGCCGTGGGCTTGCCACATCCCGCCCTTCTCTCCTGCCCTCCCCGGCCCACGGACACACCCCTGCAGGTCCCGGTGGTGGTGGCCGTGCTCAGGTGCTCAGCTGCGATGACAGGGCCGACGCCCCTTACCCCACCCACCTCTTCCACGATGTCAGCCGCACCCCTTGGTTCTGCTCTTGTCCCGCTGGCCGCGGCTCCCATTCTGGGCTGGTGCCCCACATTCCCACCCCGTCCACCCTGGGCGGACTCACCCAATCTGGGGGGCTCTCCAGCCTGCCTCGGCGTCCTGCCGAAACAAAGTCCCACCACCCGGGTAGATGAAAGCCACAGAAACGTATTTTCTTGCAGCTCTGAAATCAACCTGCAATCTGAAGGCTCCAGGGGAGGGTCCCTCCTGCCTCTTTCAGCTCCTGGTGGCCCCAGGCATTCTTGGCTTGTGGCCGTGTCCCTCCAGTGTCACCCTGTCTTCACGTGGTGTCCCCTCCGTATGCCCTGGGTCTTGTTCTCCCCACTCCCACCCTTCAAGGGCACAGTCACTGGATTTAGGGCTCCCCTAAATCCGGGATGATCTCCTCTGAAGATCCTTCACATAATTCCATACATAAGGACCCTATTTCCTAGAGAAGGTCCCATTCGCAGGGCCCCGGGGCTGGGATTTGGCCATCTCCTGGAGGACGCTGTTCAGCCCCTGCATGCACCAGCCGTGCTTGATGGTCACTAAGTCTGCACTTCTTTGTTTTTTCTTTTTTTTTAATGTTTATTTCTGAGAGAGAGAGACAGAGCGTGAGGGGGGAGGGGCAGAGAGAGA